GCCCGCCGCTCCGGGAGGGGGGGCGGCGGTGAAAGGAGTTTCTCTGTCCCCTCCAAGGCACGGGGAAGTCGTACCTGCTGAAGAGGATCGTGGGCTCTCTGCCGCCCAAGAGCACCTATGCCACGGCCAGCACGGGAGTGGCAGCTTGCCACGTCGGCGGCACCACGCTCCATGCCTTCGCAGGTAACGCCGTGCCTTTCTGCCCGAGGAGCAGCCCGGGGCCCCTGGGCAGCAGGGAGCTGAGAGCGTGCTCCCTTCCTAAAGGTGCGGGATGGTTATCGGCTCTGCTTTCTTCCTTTCTCCCAGGGATCGGCTCTGGGAAGGCACCGCTAGAACAATGTATTCAGTTGGCTGAGAGACCTGGAGTGCGTCAGCACTGGCTGGCCTGTCAGCACTTAATTATTGATGAGATCTCCATGGTGGATGGCAAATTCTTTGATAAGCTGGAGGCAGTGGCCAGGTAAGTGATTGTCAGGTTAAGCAACTCTAACAGCAGCTACTTTTTCTAAGTTCCCAGGCTGCTTTCTTCCTCTGATTGTGTGAATGGACACAAGGTAACCACTGGCATAGGACTGGAAGGAAGCTCAAGATCATAGCCAGCATCTGGGCAGACTTTTATAGCTTGAGATCAGTTTTGATCATGTCTCACTCCTCAGTTGTAGCTGTACCAATTGCCATTTCCATCTCTGGAGTCGAGTGTTGTCCTCAGAGTTGTGGGCATGCGTCCATTTGCGCCATGCCCAGTTGTCTTGCTTCCTGGACCAAGCTCCCTGTGTTCACATCCCCTCCAAGTTGGATTTCAGCTTGGGCTCCCTGTGCTTTCTGACTGTATCTCATAGTATAGGAGCTTGCATGGTAAATCAATCAATTCATCCTCATGTGGAAGAGTGAAAATGCATTGCAGTGAATATACAGTAGTGTAACAGCTAGGAAAGTACCAAGACTGACAATGACATCTTGGGGGATGAAGATGTCCAGAAAAAAAATAAATACTGTAGTAGCATTGCTTGATTACTTGAACCCTTCTACAGGAAGAGATGATTTCCTTCAGCTGTGTCAGGTGGTGTGTGTTCAAATATCATAGCAGACCATACAGTAACTTTTGAGACTCTGATTATGACTAGGTCTTGAAGAGCATTCAAAGGCCTTTCCTCCTTTTCAGGGCGGTAAGAAAACGGGATGACCCTTTTGGAGGAATTCAGCTAATCATCTGTGGGGACTTCCTACAGCTACCCCCAGTCTGTAAGGCTAATGAAGAAACCAAGTTCTGCTTCCAGGTACAAAACTATCTCTCAGATAACCCTTGCACTCCAGCTCTGCCAGTTTTTTAACAAGGGAATGATTTTCCAGGCAAAAAGCTGGAGGAAGTGCATCCAGATAAACATGGAACTGACTGAAGTGCGGAGGCAGACCGATAGGACCTTTATCTCACTCCTCAGTGCAGTCCGTCTAGGCAGGTGAGGAGAAACTTGGCTCTTTTGTCCCTGCTCCCTTACTGATGAAGCCGTGGAAAGAGATATTTGTCTTGTTACAGCTGCCTTCCACCAGGAATGTAGCTGGGGCAGTAGCCATAGACGTTTTAGCTAACGTAAGTAGATTTCACATGTGCTGCTCTGGTAAGGAAGACCCTTTCTAGGGTTAGTCTTCACAACTTTTGCCAAGGAATGCAATGGATGGTGAGCTGGTGATAGCCAGGGCAGAGCTTGAGGCACACACTTATGCTGCTCTCCTACTTAGTGTGGTTACCTCTCTCCACCCTTCTCTCTAGAGGTCTGGGGCTTGCTAGAGCCTAATCTGGTTCTTCCTAGAACCAGCTGTGTGTAAGCTATTGCTGCTCAAGACCTGTTCCTTCTCAGTTTAAACAATACTCCCCTTTTCCTGGTTACCAGGTGCACAGAGGAGGTTGCCAGACTGCTGATGCAGACAGCTACCAACAGGGCTGAGCGTGATGGGATCCTGGCTACTCGGCTCTGCACCCATAAGGATGATGTAGAACTAACTAATGAGAGATGCTTGCAGCAGCTGTCAGGTGAATTTCTTGAAGGAAACTGCTTGTTTCAGGACTACGCTCTGAGTGGATGAAGTGGGGTTACTATAGTGACAGGGAAGGGGGAATTGGCTTTCTTGTGTGTACAACAGCACCAGTCCAAGCTGTGAGTGTTGGAGTAGACCTGCCTAGGCAAAAATTGCACAGCTCTTTGTTTAAAAATCTTCATCCGTTGTTACTTCTCAGTGGGTAATATTCAGATAGCCCAACCTTTCTGTGGGGCAGGGTGGGTTATTAATGCCTTCATACCCCTGGTTCTTCCTTTTCTAGTATCTTAGAAAGACCATGCTCAAATGAGCCACTGCCTGAGTTGTAGTCTCTTCCATTTCTGCCTCCCTATCTGGCTCTGGATTCTTCCTTAGTCCTCTTTGGAAATCTGGTGTTTGCTGCAAGTGAAACTGTCCATACGCTCAAAATGGCAACTGATAAGCTATTTCTTACTGTTGGCCTTCAATTCCCAAACCCTCTAATGCTCTGGGAGGTATGGTGGGAGGAGAGGCAACAGTGAGTCTTCTTGGAAGATGCCTCTTGCATCCTGCTGGTAGGACAGAGCAGAATGGATATTAAAAGCCAGTTCTGGCTGGTGGTGAGGAGGATGGCTCTGAGAAATAAATGCTGAGCCTCCCGCAAACGTAGGGTAGCGTATGTTCAATGGCTGCGATTTGTCATCTCTTTCTTCCTTTAATAGGAGAAGTACATACTTTTGAGGCTTTGGACAGTGACCCAATGCTGGTTAATTTAATTGATGCTCAGTGTCCTGTGGGTTGCAGAGTTGAACTAAAGCTTGGAGCTCAGGTGAGTATGCGCATAGGAAAGACCAGCACACCAAATAGCATAAGGAAAAACAAAGGAATAGCAGATAAACAGATAAATATAGAGCAGATTAAGTATAGAACAGCTGTGCCAAGCAACAAAAGGCTATATTTTTGTATCTTTTCTACTCGGAACCTGATCCGGACAGAGAATTTAAGCTGAGGTACGTGTTCCTTTGACAGTGGTGACCACTATGACTTTAACATGTGTCTTCCACCACAAAGCGGAAGTAAAGTGTACTTGCCTGGAGTATCATCTCCAGCTATAGCAGCCCTCCTGACCTGTAAGAGCATGGTATAGATTGCCAGCTACGTGGCACTGGATACTCTGGTTCCTTGCTATCAGCTAGGGCTATAGTGATGCTTGTCTGTTTGCTTGTTGTGGTAGGCAGCAATACTGCTGGACCATCTTTGCCCTTAGAGTTCCCGTAAGGGTGCTAGCATCCGAATGGTCCGCACTGGACTGTAAAGCAGCACTGCTTCCTACTGAAAAACCATAGGATTGCTTTTAGCAGCAACATTTTACCTCAGGAAGCTGTTTCTTGGCTGTTCCCAGGATCTTTAGTCCTGTGAACTTGTTGGTGTTCAGGAGATGGAATCTGTTGCCTAGGTCCAAGGTGCTAATGCATGGTTGCAGCTGTGGACAGAAACAGCTCGGGGGAGTAGTGTTCAGCACTGCAGAATCCCATGGCTGGGAATCCTGGGAAGGAAGGGCTGTGAGATGGCTCCAGTCAAATTGGAGGCAGTGCTCTGTTGCTGGGCCATGGCCACATCAGCCTGCTGTACTTATGCTGTTTGCCAAACAGCATAGGTGAAGCTTGCTGAATAGGCTGTAAAGCCAGTGCACTTGAGGGCTTCTTTTACCTTCTAGGTGATGCTGGCTAAGAATCTGGATGTGTCACAAGGGCTGGTGAACGGGGCACGGGGAGTTGTTGTAGGGTTTGAAAGTGAACAGAAAGGTGAGTTAACTCTTTAAGTATATTGTTGACTGCTGGTGACTGTTGTTATTCTCTTTCCTGAAAAAAGGGAGGAGGTCTTCTCTGCAGCAAGAAGTCTGTGGTTCTGATGGGCTGAAACGTCAAGCCCTACATCAGCTGCAGCTATCTGTGAAGTCTCCTGATTTGCTTTCTTTGTTCTCTGCTTATGCATGCTCATTCTCTTTTGCTGTCTGTTTAGCTGAAGCAAATCTTGATATTTTTATCATTTTCCAGAGGATAGTGTTCCCTTATTGGCATTATCAGTAGAGTTGCAGAGAAAATACGTAACTTAGGAATTTTAGGGCTACATTAAAAAGAGTCAGATAAGACTGAGGTGGGAAGGGGAAAGAACTAGTCTTTAGCCTGCTGGCTTTCTGGCCACTGAGTGGTCAGGAAAACATTCCTGTTTCTCTCCTGCTCCTACAGGACTGCCTAAGGTGAGGTTTCTCTGTGGGGTCACACAGGTCATCAAGGTGGAGCGATGGGTCTTCAAAGGGCCATCTGGAGTTTATCTGAGTCGCCAACAGCTGCCCCTAAAACTTGCATGGGCCATTTCCATTCACAAGAGTCAGGTGGGTGTTTTCATACAGATACGATGGTGTAAAAGTCTGTAGATAAGCCTCATCTTTTGGGCAAGCTTTTATTGCTGGTAAAACGAGAGGGGAAAATTAAAAGGCCCTTGTTGCCGGGGAACTCGAGGACATGTGCATCTCAAGCTGTGGAGAAGGCAGCATCTCTTCTTCTGTTAGCGATGCTTGTCTGTTTGCTTGTTGTGGTAGGCAGCAGGACTGCTGGACCATCTTTGCCCTTAGAGTTCCCGTAAGGGTGCTAGCATCCGAATGGTCCGCACTGGACTGTAAAGCAGCATTGCTTCCTACTGCAGGCTGAGCAGGGCAGTTTCTCCCTGTTAGTCACCAGCATTACTGACCCTGAGGCTTGCTTTGTGTACCTGAGGAAGCTGCAGGAGTCACATCTGCGCTCTCTGGGCTGGACTCTCCTTTCAGGTAGTGTGTTGAGTCTCTTTAATGCAAGTAACGTGGTTCCTGCCTCTCCAGAAGACTTTGTACGCTCTGGTGATAAATTCTTCTCTCAGTAATAGAGCTATGAGTTTGCTGTCACACCACTGTTTAAATCGAGCCATATTGTAAATTCTGTTGCCTCTTGTCTCTTGGTGCAGACAGCTGGCCAGGCCTAGCCTGAACTCTTTCGCAGATGGTCTGCCTGAGGACTGCTTGGGACTGGCTGTTCCTTCAGTTAATTACTAGGACTGAAAATGGCAATTTCTTCACCTGCTATGTTGGATGTGCAGAACACTCTGAACGCCATCCAATGAAAGGCTTATCGGAGTTAGGGGACACTACTGTCTGCTTACAACTTACAGTGGAAAACTGCCCACTTATTTCTACTGATTCCCATTTTTAATCTGTTACTTAGTCACACAACAGACTTCCTCTCTTATCAGATTTGTACACTGAGGACAGTACCTCTGACAGACCCACAGGACAGGTTAGTGTTGATATAGCATAGCTTTCTTTTCTGTTCTGTAACAAACTTCTCCCTGTCCCTTATAGGGCATGTCTTTAGACTGTGTGGAAATCTCCCTCTCTCGTGTCTTTGAAAGTGGACAGGCTTATGTAGCCCTTTCCCGAGCTCGAAGCCTTGCAGGTCTCCGTGTTCTTGATTTTGACCCAAAAGTTGTGAGAGCAGATCCTTCTGTGCTGCATTTCTACAGACAGCTGAGAAGTCATCAGCTTCTAAAGCAGGTAAAGATAAACCTGTGCTATCAAAGATTGCTTTGTGCAAGGAGGATCAAAGATGTCTGGGCTTGGACGCTCCTCTGTCTTCCTGAGCAAGGCTATTCGAATTAAGACAAGTAACGGCAGGAGAGGGAAGGTGGTGGAGCAGCAGCTCTTGAGGTTTAAAAATTAAAAAAAAAAAAAGCATCTGGTGCAATGTTTGGGTAGTATGTCACTCCTTGGCCCTCTGGGTGAAAGGGAGAGTTTGGGATGCTTTGATCCTCATCTTGTAGTAAGGACCAAAGGGGAAGAAGTGGCATACTAGAAGTGTCTTCTCCCTCACTTTCTTTTCTCTCTCTAGGATTCTCTGCACACCCATTCAGGAGCTGATGACAAGGAGAACTGGAAATACAGCTGACAATGCCCTTCTGGTCTCTGTGAGGCATCAGCATAGACTACTATGTGTCAGCAGTCTCACCATTGAGTATATAAATCATAGTGAAGTTGAATTCTTTTTTTTTTTAAAGTTTGTTTCATCCAGCTGACTCTGGATATATAGAAGTCTCCCTGTACCATGTCTCTGAGAGCTGGGAGGCTTCTGTAGCCCTTTGCTGGGCCTACAGTCTTGAACTTCTGGGTTTCACGTGTGACTCTAGCACAGTAACTAACTAAACAAGGATGCATCTGAGAGACCTTCCTATGGGTTATATCCTGCTTGCCTGGAGGAAAGGCTTCATTTTATTCTTCACATATGTGGATGGTGAAACTTGCCCGCTTTTCTTCAGCGTGTATCCCCAGGTTGAGAGACAAAAAGTTTGTGTCCCTTTTGTCTAGATGGATTGGACCCGTTCAGTGGAGCTGTTGACACAAGAGGAGGCGTGTTCTGGGTACCCAGAACACATGATTGGCTCTCTTGCCAGCAAAGAGCTGCTAGGAGCCAGGCTATCACTGCATGCTATGCTGGGGAGTTCTTGCTAAGTCTTCCAGGTGTTTGACAGCAGGAAGCTTTGTGTAATTCATCCAGAAGCAGAGGGCTGTACATTGCCTGTTATGCTGATACATGTCTTTGTTAACCTGATACATGCAATAATGTGTTTTTTTTAAGAATCTTTTTTTACTTTTTTAAAATCTGGTGCCTCTGTGAGGAGCTGACCCTATTAAAGGGGGGGGACCCTTAGCGGGAGGAGATCTGCACCAGTGGGGCTGGCTGGGCGGCAGTAACTGTTGGGGTGGTCGCTGTGCGGGGGACTGAGGGCAGCCTGTGCCTGCCTGCCGCCCTGCTCCCGGCCTGTTCTCCGGGTGCCTCTCAACTCCTGTCCTCCACCTGCGTTCTTGGATTGAGTTCCTGCTTCTTGTGGTTGTCTACTCATGTTGCGCCTGTCTTCCCCTCGTGCCTCTTCTGCCAGCAATCAGAGGTTGTGGGCAACGTCAGGGGCACGGCTGCAGGCAGAGAAGCAGGATGGGCGACCTAAATGTAATGGGTAACTCGGAGCCAGGCAGCTGCAGCCCCTTCCACCCTCCGGGCTGCGCGGTTTTGTTTTCTGTATCGCATGGTTTTGCCCTGTAGGGTTTTCCAGCAGTGTCTCCTCTTGTGCTGCCTGCCTCAGCCTCACTGGGAGCTGCAGTGCTAAGGCCTTGCCAGCTGTCAATCCTGTGTCTGACCTAGCTGCTCTCAGGTCTGGTTGGCCTTTTGCATCACAGTGATCCCTCTCCCTGGCCTGGAGCTGTCTTACAGTGCTGTGTCATCTGCACCTGCGATCCTGGAGGCTCTGCCTCTCCTGGAGGCTGGGGTATGGGACTCTGGTGAGGGGAGAACAGGGGATACAAGGTATGCTGTAAAGGCTAGAAGTTTAGCAAGAGGAGGTGTCAGGATCAGAAAGGCTAGGGAATTTTAAAGTGAGATTTACCATTATGGATTAAAAAAAGTAATAAGAACATGCTAGACACTTCTAGTCATACAGAATATATTGATTTATTAGCAAGTTACATAAAAGGGATGAGATAATGCGGGTTAACATCCTTTAGCATCTTTTTAAAACTTCTGTACTACTGTAAAGATAACATATAGGAAGCCTGATTATGTAAAATGCAAATAAACTCAAAAATAACTGTTGTCTTCTGAAACAGCTGACTTAACTGCAGATTTCATGTATTTAGGGACTGAAATATTTCCAACTGTATGTATCTTTTGGTGCTAATCTGAGGTTTAGGATAAATTCACAGTAAAACTTAAAGCTGGAAAGGGTTATACAACTATTTATAATACAGCTGGAATTAAACATGCAAGAAATGTTGTGGTCACCTTCCCAGAGGTGAAGCAATGGGAACAGAATAGCAGTGGCTTTTGAAGGGCTGGCAGCTGTCCTGAGGCTGAAAAGGGTAAATCTTACAAAATTTTCTTGTAAATTTTGTATGTCCTCACACACTTCTAGCTAGTGTAGGTGTGGGGATGGGAGCTGAGGTAGAAGATTGCTACTCAGATGGCAAAGGGAGAAGTCAGAAAGTATCTGAGCTGTCAGGTTCTGTCACAGCTCCGTTACAGTCAGTTAGGATTTTGATGAGACCTTCTTATAGAATAATGCTGCCATATATATGAGGTAAAAGTCCTGTATTGCACACACAATCCTCTGTTCTGCCAAATACTACTTAAAATGCTAAATAGATTTTATAATATATAAATTTTTTTTTTTTTTTGTGGCCTGGTGACTATACTGAAAAAACAGAGCTGCTCGTGCTTTGCTCATTAGTGAGAAGATGAAGAAGAATCTGAAGAGCAAGAAACTTTACAGGAGGCCACCGCAAGGTATCTTCAAAACGTCCAGTAATACTGCTGCTGTCCGTGCTTTGCTCATTAGTGAGAAGATGAAGAAGAATCTGAAGAGCAAGAAACTTTACAGGAGGCCACCGCAAGGTATCTTCAAAACGTCCAGTAATACTGCTGCTGTCACTTGTTTAAGCAAGGAGGTTTTAGCAGGTTGGATTTTTTTCAAAAACGGTGTACGTGACTTGCAACAGAGCAAGTGTTTGCGGTCTTCTCAGCTTACACAATCTAGAGCTGATGCGTAACGGTAGACCAAGGCTTATGTATGCTAAGAATTTGGGATTTAGGTAGTTAATCTAGGTGTTCTTAATTAAGATTTGCAATACGCACAAGGAGGTAAAGTGGTTTTTGAAGCTCTGTTATATCCTCAGCTTCTTCCTACAGACTCCTCTTCCTACAGGCTTCCACTTCCTACAGACTACCAGCTTTTCCTCTTCAGTCCTGCATTGTACCTTTAGAACTGTACTTTTGCCATTTGCAGTGCGCATATGGAGTGGTGGGGAGACAAGGAAAGACAGAAGAAAGATCCTTTGTCAAGTATCAAGTGTGTTAGTGTCCACTACTTTTGAAATTGCATCTCTGTAGATGCAACATCTGGTAACACTAGATTCAGAGTTAAATCTGTCAGAATACGGAGGTAAGGCCCAAAGTGCTGTGGTATATAGAAAGAGAAATTCCATATAATAGAAGAACTACTATTTCTGTGTAGCAGATGATAGGGTGTAGGGA